GTGCATAATTACAACTTCTAGTGTCGGCATAAAACTTACATGTTCTGGAAGTTGATTGTTTAATGCTGTTATTAATTGGCAATGCAGCTGGGTACAGAACCAGAAGTGTGTTTTGCTGCAACTCATTGTGGATTCTGCTGCTAAGGAAATAATGTCTCCTGCTTTATGTGGGAGCCAGGCCTGCATCTGATCCTTCTTCTTGCTCCTTTTTCTGGCTTGTTCCCGTTTCGAACAAGGTATCTTAAAAATAAGGTCTAAGTGACAAATTTATATTTATTTATTTAATGTATATGCCACCCACTCTACCCAAAGGTCTCTGGGCGGCTTACATCAATAAAAATGCAATAAAAATACAATGGTGCCTTGCAAGACAAATTTAATTCGTTCTGCAAGAAGTGCTGTCTTGTGAAAAAATCGTCTTCTGAAAAGCGGTTTCCCATAGGAATGCATTGCAATGCATTCCTATGGGAATCTCACAAGATGAATGACAGTTTTTCATCTTGCAAGGCACTGGTATCGAAAAAAAACAAACCTGTATTGCGAAGCACGGCCATAGAAGACGTCGTCTTGCAAGGCACCATAGCAATCGCAAAAACCAATCGTCTCGCGGGTTTTTTTGTCCCGCGAGGCGTTCATCTTGTGAGGCACCACTGTACAATAAAAAGATAAAACAATTAAAGTGCAATTAAAATACTCCAAAAATTGCCATCAGGAGTCACAGTTGACATTATTTCATTTAAAAGCCTTCTGGAACAGGAAGGTTTTGACCTGGTGCCGAAATGTCATCAGTGTCGGCGCCAGACGAATTTCAGTCGGGAGGGCATTCCATAGTCTGCAGCTGCCCAAAAGGCCTTGTCTACAAGCCCTCCCTCTTACCTCCTTAAGGGACGGCTCTTTCAAAAGGGCCCCCTGGCTAGATCTTAACTGCCAGATAGGCTCATATGGAAGGAGACGCTCCTTCAGGTATCCAGGGCCCAAGCCTTTTAGGGCTTTATATGTCAAAACAAGCACTTTGAATTGGGCTCAGGAAGCAACTGGTAACCAATGTAATTTAATCAGAATCGGCTTGATATGTTCCCTGGCGGCTGTACCACTCACCAGCTGTGCAGCTCGATTCTGGAGCAGCTGCAATCGCCAGACTGTCTTCAAAGGCAGCCCCACGTAAAGCGCATTGCAATAATCTATACCAGTGCGTGTGTTACCAGTGTGTGTGTAACTGTCATGAGACTACTCGTCCAGGTAGGGCCATAGCTGGTACAGTTTCCGCAGCTGAAGGAAGGTACCCCTGGCCACCAAGTCCACCTGCACATCCAGAGTTAGACTGGGGTCCAGGAGCACCCCCAAGCTGCGGACCCTGTCCCTTAGGGGGAGTGTAACCCTATTCAGGGCAGGGAAATGGCCCTTCAACCTGTCCGGCGAAGCACTCACTAACAGCACTTCCGTCTTGTCTGGATTGAGTTTCAATTTATTAACCCTCATCCAGTCCATTATCAGGTCCAGACACAAGTTGAGCAGAAAAACCACCTCACCCGGATTAGTGGAAAACAAGAGGTAGAGCTGAGTGTCGTCAGCATATTGCTGACTCCTCAGCCCAAACCTCCTGATGACCTCTGCCAGCGGTTTCATGTAGATGTTAAACAGCATGGGGGACAGTATCGAGCCCTGCGGAACCCCATGACATAAATGCCATGGGGCAGAACAACTGTCCCCCAGCACCACCCTCTGGACACAGTCAGCCAGGAAGGAGCGGAACCACCGTAAAACAGTGCCCCCTACTCCCAACCCAGCCAGCCTATCTAGATGGTCGATGGTGTTGAAAGCCTCTGAGAGGTCCAGGAGTATCAACAGGGTCATATTCCCCATCTCTCTCCTGGCAAAGGTCATCATACAGGGCGACCAAGGCGGTCTCTGTACCAAAACCCTGTCTAAATCCAATTGAACAAAACTGCCTATTTTTCAGTGAGAGCCAGTTACCCATACAACTCTCTCTCTGTGTTGATGTGTCTCCTACTTTTGAAAGTTTTATTACTGAGATTCATTCTGCATCCTATTTTGCAACCCCAGCCAGCAACTGGATTCAAGCTGGGCTGTCTCTTTCCCTATACTGCAAAAGGAACAAATTCCACAATAATGGACTTTTGCCCAAATAATATTTATTCCTAAATTTGGTAAAGATGCTGAAATGGCTGGATCACACCACACTGTCTTTTCAACAAATTAGGATGTCAAATATATAAAAATTAAACTGGCTTTATGGATAACAAATTTCGGATTCAATTCATAGGGTGTAAAATATCTGAGCTACCATAATAATAAATAAATTTGTGCTGTCAAGTCAAGTCAGACTTATGGCTACCCTTTCAGAATTTTCTAGAGTACAGTGGTGCCTCGCTTGATGAGGATAATCCGTTCCGTTGAAATCACTGTTAAGCGAAATCCTCGTCAAGCAAAATTAAAAAACCCATTGAAATGCATTGAAAACCAGTTCAATGCATTCCAATGGGCTAAATACCGCAGCATCCAGCGAAGATCCTCCATAGGGCGGCCATTTTCCGGTGCCTGTAAAGCGAGGAATCCGTCCTAAAGCACAGCAGGGAGCCATTTTGCACAGCGGGCGACCATTTTAGAGCCGCCAATCAGCTGTTTTAAAATCGTCTGGTGAAAAATCGGTTCCCGAAGCAGGGAACCGATCATCGTTAAGCGATTTTCCCCATAGCATTTCATCATTTAACGAGGTAATCGTTAAGCGAGGCACCACTGTATTCAGGACTTTGCCATTCCCTTCTGGCAGCATCCTGGGACTGTGCAGCTTGCCCAAGGCTACACAGACTGGTTCTTCTGGGATGCACAGGGGGAAATTGAACGCCCAACCAAATACCTATCTCACTGAGCTATCCAGCCAGTGTTGAGCTATAGCAGTAACAGCAAAAAACAAACAAACACCCATCTATTCTCTCTAGAATAGATGCACATAAGGCATTTGGTTGTTTTGAGAGAAATTTTCTTTTTCAAATTTTTCATAAGTTCAGCATGGGAGAAAACTGTATTCAATTAATTCAAAGACTATATGCTGAACATTAACACAAATGGCAAACATTAACTTCAACCTTACAAAGACTGATGCATTTCATATGCATAGATGCACTCTATCTTCCTTTCCTCTAGTTTTAGAATCCCGAGCACAAAGAATTAGAATTAACCAGAAACTGAGAAGGGAGATCATCAACATAAAACAGGGATGTCTGCACATATTGTAATACTCTGTGACAATCCAATGAGGTTAGCAACTGCAAGTATACGTACTGGATTATTACTTCTTAATAAATAGCAAGGGATTTTGTTGGGGAAACACATAAATTTCCTGATTTTGTTGGACTACTACTTCTTAACTTCCTGACAATTGACTATACTGGCTGGGACTTCTGGTAATTATACATTACTTGTTTTTTTAGCCTTCCTTTCATCCACTGAGCTGAAGATGCAGTACAAAGTTCTCCCTCCCATTTACTTAATCCTCACAACATCCCTGTGAACTAGGAGAGTGTGTGACTGAAAACTCAAGTTAGTTTCATATCCAAGTGCTCGGAAGTAGGAAATCTCCCATATTCCTCATCCAGCACTCTGACTACTACATCACTGCCACAGGGGTGTTCTCGCTGTCTCTCTTTCTATATATATATATATATAGAGAGAGAGAGAGAGAGAGGAAAGGGACTTGTCAATATTGCATTGGACTACAACTCCCATGAACTGTGACTAGCATGGGGAATGGCTGAACTGGATTTCAGCAACAACTGGGAAGTTATACAATCCCCCTGCCTTGTGGCCTATTTTAAATTCCACTCATTGAATGGAAGGGCAGCAGACAGAAATGTTATTTTCTAGTGTAACAGTGTGAGGCAATAGATTCTTCTTGAATGCCTTCTGCTTTCTCCAAGAATATCTGTCATTCGGCCACGTGCTGGATTCCTCACACTAGATTCGTATCTCTTGATCAGCGAATCTCTGATGTTTCCAAAACTGCAATCTCCTGCCAGCATATCTGAAGTGGTACAATGCTCTTCCATTACTTCTCAGATTGTTCGAGCCCCGGTTAAAATTAACGCAATGTTATCCCTTTACGTTTCATTCCTCCTTCAGTTCAGCTCTCAGAGGAGCTCATGCTCCTCTTTTTCCAGGTTTTCCAGGCCTAGAAAGTGCTAAGTGTTGAATCTGCAAGTTTAACCTTGGCGGTTTCAGACCTCCCATTTTTCGTTTCGCACTTTCTCCTTCTTGATTCTCAGGGATCGAGTCCACATCCTCAGACAGTGTCACGTGGAAGTATAGCAGCGTGTCTTTCAGGTGCAGGCAAGTTTTTGTTTTATTTTCCTTTTGCCTAGAGATGCGGCCACAGACTAAATCTTTGGAGAATGAAACATGCCCAGTCCCTTAGCATAACTTTTCCTGAAGGCAGAGAGGTGACCTGGAACTGGCATGCAAAGGTCTTTTCGTCCATACCCTCCAGAGACAGTTGAAAGCAATTTTTGAGAACCTTCTTGTAACAGGCAGCCCTGACCTCACCTGTCCATCACAGCTGGGCAGTGAATCATCAGCCAATGGGGTAACGGAGGGTGGGGCTGAAGAGGGAGGAGCTGGAAGTAAAAGGGGTGTGAGGAGAGTGTGAGAGAGAAAGAGCTTGTTTAGAGGCCTGCGTGCCTACGTATTCAGTGACAGAAGTCTGTGATTGATTAATATACAGTGATTGACATCTTGATTAGCTACTTGTGATTATCATATTTTATTTTGTTATTTCAATAAACCTGTTTTGTTTTGAAGGTGGCAGCGACTGTGAAGTGGTGTGGTGGGAATTCTGAGAGGCCTGAGTTGGGGGTGACATCAGAGTGGCCTGCTACGTCACACTTCTGATAAACACATACTGTACATACTAAGGATCCGGGACCAACCACAAACTAATTCCTCCGGCCGGCAGAGGGCGCTGGAGAGGAGCGCCAAAAGGCCGCCGGAACTTGCGTCAGCAAAGTGCCTTCTGGGAGCGGCGAAAGGGCGAAGGTTTTCTCCGTCGCTTCCTCCGGGCAGGGTTCGGCTGAGCTCGCGCCGCTCTTCTCCGGCCGTCGCGAGAAGCTCGTCACCGCGTCGCGTCCTTTCTTCCCCTCTGTGCCTCAGCCGAGAGCGTGAGAAGGCCCTTTCCCCTCCCCTCCTTGGTTCGCTTTTGCCGCCGCCTGCGCGCCCGCTGCCGCCGCCGACGCCATGCCGAAGAATAAAGCTGAGGCCTTCCCGCGACGCAGCGTGGTTGCCTTTCCTCTCCCTTCATCGACTGCCGGTCCTTTGGGCCGAGCCTCACCCCGGCGGCGAGGCGTTGATCCCGCTTCCCCTTGTTCTGGCTGTTCGGGTGGCTTCATGTCCGGCCCTTCATTTTGTTTTGTGGCCTCACAGTCGCCTCTCCCAGTCGGGTCGCGCGTCCGCGTCTGTTCTCTTGTTCCTTCTTCTCCTTCCCCCCCCTCCCCCAAAATTTCTCAGCCTCTTCAGTAGATTTCTAGATAAATACGGGGGCTGAAGTTCTGTGTTTAGTATTAATATAATCCTGTCATAACTACTGAGAGATTTGAACTCTGGTAAGTGCGGAAACAGCAAATTGAGCCCGTGAGTTTCCTGGCGGTTTAAAACTGGTTTTTCTTAAGTCTTTTTTTTCTTCCTCTGACTCATTTCTCTTTGATTCTTTGTGCCATAATGTTTATGTTGTTAACTAGATTTTTTCTGACAAAGTTGCAGTGCGTGTTTGATATTTAACTGCTGTAATTTGATCATTAGATTATTTGATGCCAGGGAGATGCCTCTCCTCTTTTTTTACAGTACTTATTTTCACCACGAATTTATTAGTTGTCCCGTAGCTACCAACTGTTAGGTTGATGGTTATCAAAATAACACAGATAAAATTATCAAGGGAGAGGAAATGTTTGCTTCAGTGACACATTTCTCCATCCTTATTAAGGAATTGGATATTTGGAGTGGCTAATTGTTTAGTGGCATTCTTACACTGTTTTGTTTTTATTGTTTTTCTGGCCAAGTTCTCAAGGACACTATCAAGGGACTAATTAAAAAGTAACTAAAGAACAGTCTGTGAAACTTTGACATTTTGGAGCTAAAGTCCTCATCCTTTGGAGCAGTGGTTACTAACCTTGGGTAGCCCAAGAGTTCTTGGACTCCAACTCCCAGGAATCCTGAGCAGCACACCCTGTGGTGAAGGCTTTTGGGAACTGCAGTCCAAGAACACCTGCATTACCCAAGGTTGGGAACCACTGCCTTAGAGTGTAGAAGAAACAGTCTGCCTGAATGCTTTCCCATTTGTTGCATAAGCCTACTTGGAACTGTAAGATCTTCTTAAATACTATGTATGTATATGAGCATATACATGTGCAAAATGATGGTGTCTTGCCAAAAGGATGGATTGAGCAATAGAATAATTATGTGGTCAGCTTTTTATAAAATCATAGAGTTCTAATTGGGGGGGGCTATAAGGCCATTGAGTCCAACCCCGAATTATAGAGTTCTAATTGGGGGGGTTATAAGGCCATTGAGTCCAGCCCCTGGCTGAGTGCAGGGATGTAAATCAGTCTATATCTGACAAATGGTTGTGAGTGCAGGAATCTAAATCAGTCTATATCTGACAAATGGTTGTCAACTTTTCTCTTAAACGCCTCCATCATTGGAGTGCTCATCTCTTCCCAAGGTAATCGATTCCATTGTTGTAAATGCCTCCATCATTGGAGTGCTCATCTCTTCCCAAGGTAATCGATTCCATTGTTGTACTGCCGTAACAGTTAGGAAGATTTTACTGATATTCAACCAAAATATGGCTTCCTGTAACTTGAGCCCATTATTACGTGCCCTGTACTCTGAGATGATCAAGAAAAGATCCTGACCCTCCTCTGTATGACAGTATTTCAAGTACAGTATTTGAACACAGTTGTCATACCTCCCCTGTCTCCCCCCACCCCAGGTTAAATGTGCCCTCCTCTGAACTTGGTCCAGTTTGTCTGCACCCTTCTTAAAGTGTGGTGTTCAGAACTGGACACAGTACTCAAGATGAGGCCCAACCAGTGCTGAATAGAGGGAACCTAGTACTGTATTCATGTACCAAATCATTTTGATTTGGTATTTCACCTGTGTAATTTGTGGATGCTTTGATGTTTGCATTCATTCTTCAATATGCTTTTAATTAGATTTATGGTGCACCGTAACTGCTATGAGTTTGCCTTCGGTTTTTGTGATTTTCCAAGTGGATGAACTCACTTGTAGTAATACATTATTATTATTATTTACTAATAAATAATGGCATTGTTAATTAATATTATTATTTACTAATAAATAATGGAACAATCTATTATTATTATTAATAACATCATTCTCTTTGTGTTTGTGCATGTTTTGAATAAAGGGAACCTAATACTGTATTCATGTACCAAATCATTTTGATTTGGTATTTCACCTGTGTAATTTGTGGATGCTTTGATGTTTGCATTCATTCTTCAATATGCTTTTAATTAGATTTATGGTGCACCGTAACTGCTATGAGTTTGCCTTCGGTTTTTGTGATTTTCCAAGTGGATGAACTCACTTGTACTAATACATTATTATTATTTACTAATAAATAATGGCATTGTTAATTAATATTAATATTTACTAATAAATAATGGCACAATCTATTATTATTATTAATCACATCATTCTCTTTGTGTTTGTGCAAGTTTTGCATAATGCAACTAATTGTGGTAACTTACAAGATGCTGGGGTACATATTGGTTGTGTGCCCAGTTGCACAACTGAGATATATTTAGGCATCTTGTCAGTTGGGCAAGTCATGCAAATACTAGTAGTATTCCAGCCAATAAGGTTAACATGATTCTTTTATTTGAAGTTTTGGAATGGCTGACTTCTAAACTTGATACAGTGGTGCCTCGCACAGCGAGGTTAATCCGTTCAGGATTAACCCTCGCTGTGTGAAAGCTGCACCACTGTACTGTGTAATATGCTTTCATTTACTTTAGATTTGGATTTGTTTATTCGTTTTCCTATTTAAATCTATGCAGCTAGAAACTAGTATAATTAATTGTTAGGTTTCATTTTGTAAATACATATTTAAAAAGAACTTTTAAATTGGATGGGAATTCACTATATTTTTAAACTCTGTCAGAGGTTTTTCTAGTCTGGTGATAACTTCCACACTGGTATTTATTCATCTACAGTAGTTAACTTTCCTTTCTTGGTTACTTATATCTCAGGTAAGGGAGGTAAAAACAGAAGGCGAGGTAAGAATGAAAATGAATCAGAAAAAAGAGAACTGGTGTTCAAGGAAGATGGACAAGGTGAGACTATGGTTTTGTCTTTTTCAATTCCATGCATTGAATTGCATAGTTAGTGTTGTTTGGAAGGTCATTTGTTTAGGTGCTGGAAATATGTTAATAAGTTATGGAAAGGCCCAGCTCAAATGTGAGTTACGACCATCATCCGTTCCAGAAGATGGACATAACTTGAAATGGTCATAAGTCGAAGCACCATTTCCCATTGAAATGCATTGGAATGCGATTAATCCATTCTGGCTGGGGGAAAAAAAACAATCCCCCCCAAAATAAAATTAAAATAAAACACTGCAAGCCCCACTGGAACGTGCTGGGGCTGCAAAAACAAATGAACAAAAAACCTAAAAATAAACAGAGCAAGCCCCAAAGGTGCTGGGGCTTTAAACAACAAACAAACCCCAAAATACCGTATTTTTTGCTCCATAAGATGCACTTTCCCTGGAGCGTCTTGTGGAAAGGTACGTCTTATGGAGCGAAAAATACGGTAAACGGAGCAAGCCCCGAAGACGCTGAGGCTTTTTTAAAAAAAAACAAAAATAAATGGAGCAAGCCCTGAAGGCGGTGGGGCTTAAAAAAAAAAACAACAAAACCCCAAAATAAACGGAGCAAGCCCCGAAGACGCTGAGGCTTTTTAAAAAAACCAAAAATAAATGGAGCAAGCCCTGAAGGCAGTGGGGCTTTAAAACAAAACAAAATCCCAAAATAAACGGAGCAAGCCCCGAAGGCGCTGGCGCTTAAAAAAAATAAACAATGGAGCAAGCCCAATAGGAACCTGCTGGGGCTGCAAAGAAACAAAAACAAAAAATAAACAATGGAGCAAGACCTGAAGGCGCTGGGGGTTAAAAACAAAACAAAAAGCCAAAAGTAAACATGCTGGGGCTGCAAAAAAATCACCAAAACAACAACACAGCACAGAAACATAACCCCCACCCAGCCCAAACCCACCCAGAACAGTTTTTAAAAAGCAGAAAGCAGCACCTTACCTTACCAGGCAGTCCCGAAGCCTCCTCCCGAAGCACTCACTCTGACCGTTGGGGTGAAAGAGCTACAAAGAAGCAGCCTCTTCGCCTACTAACGGTTACCAAATTTGAGTTCCTTGCCTTTTTTCCCTTGCCTTTTTTGATCATAATTGGAAGCTCCGGACGCAAGTCGAACTACAATTTTGCAGACGGAGCTGGTTATAACTCGAAATGGTCGTAAGTCGGGACGTTTGTAAGTTGGGACACCACTGTACAGAGAAGTATGCAGTGTTTTGCAGACGGAGCTGGTCGTAACTCGAAATGGTCGTAAGTCGGGACGTTTGTAAGTTGGGACACCACTGTACAGAGAAGTATGCAGTGTATGAGAATAAGTGCTTTTGTATAGACTAGGAAAAAGCATTAAGTGAAGTGGAGGGACTGTATCACAGTGTGTGAAATAAGAAACCAAGGGAAGTGGGTTAAGGGAAGAGTTTTGAGAAAATATTGGTAACAACATGTAGTACGTAGTTGAACATCCCCAAATAAGTCCTGGAAAGATCCCCAATCTCCTGAAAAGGACAAAAAAGCTGATCCCACAGCTACAAGTACTCAACTGTCCCAGACATTACACCTGAGAACAGTTCTAACTCCTGTCCTCTGAGAGTGATGAAATGTTAGAAAAACTTCCAGAACACGGCCAGACAGCGGCCAGCAGCCCGAAAAACCAACAACAACCGTCCCAAATACATGTACTCATTTTTTTTTACCTCACACATTGGAGTGTCAGTCCCAAATACATGTACTCATTTTTTTACCTCACACATTGGAGTGTCAGTGTGCTATTGGGAGTCTAACCATGTTTTAAAAGTCACAGCTAGAAATACAGTATGATAGGTTTCAAAATAACTCCAGTTTATCCTAGAAACAGAGTTTGATCCTTTGCAACAGAGCACTTTTGTCCAGAACTGACTTGCATACCTGAGTTAAAGAGCCAAAGGGGCTTCTATTTTACATGAATTTAGCTTTGGTTTTTCTTACCTATTTTGTTGCATAATATATACTCACTGTATATTGGGAAATGTACTTTTGCTGACCTGATTTTGTGTATGTGTGGTGTGAGGCACTTGTAACTCAATGAGCCTTTGTTCAAAATATGTGTTGCTGTTTCTCATTGATTCAGTAGCCCAAAACACCTTTGATAAAGCAAAATATAAGATGTAACTGTATGCACATCTTTTGTTTCTTCTCTGAAACCTGTAATGCTTAACTGCTATATTCTCTCTTCCAGAGTATGCCCAAGTAATCAAAATGTTAGGGAATGGCAGACTGGAGGCTTTATGTTTTGATGGCGTAAAAAGGTTATGTCATATCAGAGGAAAATTGAGAAAAAAGGTATGTGAAAGCCATTCTGCTGTGTGGCAGAGGTTTATAGCTTCTGAGTAGCAACCTTTCCCTTCTCAGACATGAAAGTGGCATCTTATTCCTGCATTCCTTCTTTTTGCTTCCTTTGGATTCCGTGTTCCAGAATATATCATGATTATTCATGTAAAACCTTTGTATTGAAAAATTAGGGCTTGGTGAACCAAGGACTTAATTTTTTTAGCAGCTTACTGGACATAAATATGCCCCCGAACATAGTTCCATTTAGGAGTCAAACGTAACTTTTTTAAAAATGGCTTTATGAACATGTATTCATCATTAACTTTAAAAATCTTCAGGTAATGATGTGCATTCATAAGATATTGTAAAATTGTCAAAATTTTGTTTTAATGTTAGATGGTTCTAGAAGCAGAAGGTAGGGTTTGTAACTTTATTTTTATTTCATTTTCATTATAGGTTTGGATAAATACGTCAGATATCATTTTGGTGGGTTTAAGAGACTACCAGGTAATTTTTTTTTTATTTTTTTGCTTTCTCTGGATTGTAGCCAAGCACTGATTAGCTCACTTACATTTTATTGTTTAAAAAAAGCTTTCCCTTGTGTAGTGGGTGTAAAATAAAGAACTGAAAATATCTTTGTCCCTTCTCTTTCATATATTGGCTGAAAACCTGTGGATGGAGCTGTGCCATGTAACAAGGATGATGTCTTCAACTGCTGCTTTTCATTTTAGTATAATAAAAAGCTTGCTAGAGTCCCTCTGGGTTTTAGTCCTGCAAAAAGAAAAGAAATGTGGTCTTGTTACAGTGCAAAGACAAAAGCAGGTGATGCCTTTACAAGGGGGTGCTGATAAGTATTGTGCCTTTCCCATAAAAAATTATATATAGCAATACTTTTGGCTGATAGTCGGTGGTCCTCCATGATCATGTCATGGATGGCTTTCACATTTGCAGGCATAGAGACAGAAACAGGCCTTCCACTGGGTTTCTCACTTTCAACACTGAAATGGCCAGTTTGAAAATTGACAACCCAATGTTTAACTGTTGCATATGAAGGGCCACTGTCACTCATAGTTTGACATTTCATCATGGATCTGCTTTGCACCTTTCCCTTGGAGAAACAGGAACTTGATTATGGTCCTATGTTTTTCCACATTGAACTTTTCTGGAGGTGCTACCATGTTAAGTTTGGACTGGAAAATGCAAGTTAAGTTAAAATCATAGGTAGTTGATTTTTTCACAGTTGAATATAGATAAAATGGCCAACACACCCTGCAATTTATAGCTTCCTAGCTCAATTTCATCTGGGTAAGGCTCAATACCTATCAGCACCCCCTCATATTAGACCACTAAAAATCATATACAGAAGCTAGCTTTCAACGCCTGGAGATTTTCATCAGGAAGGACATCAGAAGTCTTTGTGTGTTGTGTAGAAAAAACGTAGAAGTTAAAAAATCATAGCCCCAGGCCTGTAGTGCAGGCTTCTTTTTAAAGAGCATATTTCAAAATGAAGACTGCCATCTCAAGAGGGTGTAGGTTTCAAATTCCACCTTAGGTGATGTGAATTTGACTGTCTCCTGTACTGGTGGTAAGAATTTTCTAGTTTCAAATCATTCCACCCGCTGTTCTGTGGCTCCCAAAGACTGCCTTGGGGCAAAGGGAATCCCTGGAGTTCCCTAAAACCAGTGGTGGGGGAGCTCTAGAAAGGTTTTTATTGCTCTGAGGCAGCTGTGGTTGATGATGTCATCCTTGTTCTGTGATGTAAAGTTGCACAATACTTTCTGCCACTGTATAAAACTAGCCATGCCAAGGGAGAAAGATTCCTTAATCCCTTAAGTCAGTACTGTAGATGTAAGAGAGGGGACGACGATATGTATAGACAGCATTTTGATAGCATTGCATTTCAAAAGAAGCACTGCATCTGCATCCTGCATCTAAAAAAACAATGCAAGATAGGAATGATTATTGTAACTGCTCCTGTGCAGATAAATTCTATTTTGGAAGATGTCTGTAACTTCAGGCAAGGGCTGTCTTAGCCCCAGGGAATATGATGGAAAAACAGCTGTGCTGGCTTCAATGAGGAGTTACACTACTGAAGGTGTGGAAGGATCCCTAAACCATTGGTCTCTCACTAATGAGCCAAATGCCCTTAATTCCTCCTTTCAGTCCTGTACTTGCTTGGGTTCAGCTTCAAATCAAGCACTGGCATATATTGTCTAGCTGCTTATGTGCCATAGACTTCAGTACATGTGCCAGTTTGACTTTTGAAGAAGGCAGGGCTGAGGAATAGGTGACAGGAGCAGCACTGGGAAGATAAAAAGGATAGTACAGACTTCCTGCTGCCCATACTAGTCACTTTCCAACAAGCTGATGTTAAGTGAGGAGGAGAACAGGTGGTTATGGGATAAGAATATGTCAGATTAGTAAATTACCACATTTTGGTCTAACTAGTTTCATACCAGCCGCCTAGAGTGGTCTGGTAGTCCAGATAGGCGGGGTACAAATCAGATAGATAGATAGATAGATAGATAGATAGATAGATAAGCACAGGTGCCTTTCAGTTTTGGATTGGTAATATTCATATTGTGGTTGTGCCGAAGGAAATGTAGCCAACAAGATGTCAGAAATTATTGTTTTGGTGGTTCCAGTGCAAAAAAAGGTGTGTAAAATTTACCCTTGGCAACAGTACTGTATTTTGAGAGTCTGCAGGAGCAGTAGAAAGTGATGGGAGGGGCAGTATGCAAGATGGTGGAGGTGAGATTGCAAATACATGTCATGTTCTCAGTGCTAGTAGAAAGTGATGGGAGGGGCAGTATGCGAGATGGTGGAGGTGAGATTGCAAATACATGCACAGCAACCCTCTTGGAATATAACCCAGTCCCTTTTGTGCAATACCAGAGGTGGGGAGCTGCTTACTTTTGAATAGATGGGTATAGAGTTTAGCTGTAGTTGGTGGGAAAAATATCCCAATTTGTAAGGTTTACAGCTGTTGTTGACCTGCTATCTCCCTGGTCTAAAGGACTGCATTCACACATACAAGCCTATCTGAGCTTGAGATCTTTGGGTGAGAGCCTTTTCTTTGAAGACCTACAACTTTAAAAGGCATCTAATGCGAAGATGAAAGAAGGCTTTTGTTGTTGCTTCTGGACTATGGAACTTGCTACTAAGAAGGGCTATACTGGTCCCTTCCTTATTCTTATTCTTCTGGTCAAATATATTTTTGTGCAGATAAGCTTTTAGCAATTAACTGTTGAGAAATGGGCTCTTAAATAAGGGAGTGCTTACTTTGTTTAAATTGCTTTTACTTCAGTTGAGTTTTTATCTGTATCTTATTAATTTAGTTTTGTTGTCACTGCCTTAAGTAAAGGTTTTGGGAAGACTACATATAAATCCAATAAACAAAGATGACCCATTCTTTTGGTTCCATCTGCCACTTAAATATGGTGCTGAAGACCCTTCATAAGGTTTCTCACACCAAAGCTATTTTTGATCTATTTTATTTGAAATTATTTTAGGCCACCTTAGAAGGAAGTGTCTGTGGTTTCACATTAGAGATGGGCACTAACCAGAAAAATGGTGGTCCATGGTGTTCATGGTTACCCACAAACTTTATTAAGTTTTTTTTTAAATGAACCCAGTTTGCTTTTTAAAAATGTTTGTGCCTGGGGGAGGGGAAATTAAACCCCCACCCCTTCTGCCATTTGCTTACCCCCTTACCACTATTCCGTTGCCTCTGTTCCTATCAGCTCCTCTTCCTCCATTGTCATCTCGGGTGCAGATGTGTGATCCAGCACCACACGATCCTGGATCACCCATTTACAGTCCGGCACTCTGTCCCCTGTCCCTTTCCCTCTGCCCTGTCCTCTCCCTTCCTTGGTCCTGCTGCCTCCTCCATTGTTGTTCCAGTTGCAAATGGGCAATGCCGTGTGGCTTACAGGGAACATTGGTCCCAGCTGATCTCCCTGATTAACTAGGACCCCCAGATACACACACATTCATGTGCAGAGATAGCAGGCCTGGTTCATGAAAGCCAGTCTGCTTTCTCTGCGCATGCCCATGCCTGTCAATGGATAGGCAGGAGCATGCACAGAGACAGCAGGCCCAGCTCCTGGAAGGGAAGCTAGGTGCTGGTCTGTGAAGATGGGAGGAGGAGGAGGAGGAGGCAGCAGCACAAGGTAGGGAGGCAGTGGGAAGGGGGTGGGGGCAAACAAACCAGGAAGTTTGTTAAAGGCAGACAAACCAGGAAGTTTGTTAAATTGCTAAAAACGTTGGTTAGCTCAGTTTGCTTTGGTTTGTTGGTTTTGACGAACCTGAACCAACAATCCAGTGATTTTTTTATGAATTTGCTGCTTCATTTTTTTGTTCATACCCATCTCCATTTCCAGGGCTTGAAAAATTTTAGAATGTCTCCCCAGGCAGTAAAAAATTTCACCAGTCAGCATGATTGGACTATAGCCTTGCTATTTATGTTTAAATTTAAATTTAAACTAGGCACTTTCTACATAACAATGCGTACAAACCCAAAATAAATATACCCTCAGACTTGGGTTGCTTTATTACCTGCACGCCTGTGAGGTCATGAAGCTTGTATTTTGAATGCCTTTCTTTTGAATGTCTCTAGCAAAAATAAAACTGAAAGCAAAAGCCCCCGGCCTCTTAAGGAGCCAGGTCCTTGGGTTGAAATTGGGAGCAGGGTATCTCCATATTCTCTAGCATTTGACTACTCTACATTCTCCTGCAAAGCTATATATCTATGTGCCGCTTGAACTCTCTTCTCAAGAGAAGAGGGCAGTTTTTCCTTTTGTAGTGGGAAGTGGGAGGGGAGGACTGCAGGATCAGAGAGACAGAGAGATGGACTGAGGTTAAGGAGGCAAGGAAGGAGAGAGGGAGGGACAGAGGGAGCTCTGGCTTGTTAAGCAGCATTTTTTCACTCATCATGGACAAGTGGATTTTTCAAGCCCTATCCATTTCATATCTTTTAATAATATACTACTTGAGGAGAACATGTAAATAGTTAAGTAAATCTTTGTTGGCAAAAGCCTGTTGGAATAAATGGTATCTAAAATGTCAGGAAATTGCCATTTCAGGATATAGAGCTTGATACAAATGTATTTAAAATGTCCAAGAAAAGAACTTAAAAGAACACACATTTTTTCTGCAGTATGTTTACCATTGTTGATGTTCTTTAGGATAACAAGGCTGATGTAATTCTAAAGTACAATGCAGATGAAGCCAGAAGTCTGAAGGCATATGGAGAACTTCCAGAACATGGTAGGAATTTCGCAGAACAAATGAGAAACTCATTGTGAATAAAGGAGGAATGGGGGAAACAACACAGCAAAACAATTGCTAAAATGTATTCTTAAATTTGCTTTAATCTTATTTAGCCAAAATTAATGAAACTGATACATTTGGGCCTGGTGATGATGATGAAATCCAGTTTGATGATATTGGCGACGATGATGAAGACATTGATGATGTAAGTACCTAGCAATATATTCACCTCATTGTTACAAGGGGACGGGAAAAGGTGCTAAAATTTTACAGTCTCCAATTCTAAAGTAGTGTGGCATGCCCATGGACACACAAACTGTGTAAGACATAGATGTGTCTCTAATCTGTTGCAGCAAAAGCAACACAGTCTTGTGGCACCTTGAAAGCAAAGAAGTTCTATTTAGCATATAATTTCAGCTTGCCTGTGGCTGCAGTACATGAAACCTATACCAAATGAAACTTGGCCACATATCTCTGTTGTTTTATCTTAGCTTAGTGGCCAAGAGTTCCTCAGCAGAATTGTAGTAAAATGGCCCAAGGTCCTGGAAAGGATCCTTTCTGCCGAGTAAGTTCATGCTGTCATGGTCTCCCTATGCCATTATGAAGAATAGCATCAGGAGAGGCAACACCTGGTCTTGAGGCCACATGTGGCCTTCCTGTTTGTTTTTCTACCTCTTACATTCACCTTCAAAAGGGTCAGAAAGGAGAATTGATACTTTAAAAATGGCAGTTCTCTAAAGCAAGGAGCCAGGTTCTTTTTATAGTGTGAACTTCTTTTCTGGTCTTTTCAAAACCAGAACTGTGTTTCCTTCACTGGAAGTGAAATTAATAAAGGAACTTCTGGTCACTTCCAATTGGAGGAAGATTTTTTTTAAATCAAAATCTTGAACATAGCACTTGTTGGATGAGGGAATGTTAAAATGGGCCTCTAAACTTGCCAAAACATACTTACTCCTGCTATAGCAACTTATTTTGGATGATTTTCTTTCATTCCACATAGGATGGACTTCTAAACTTCATAATATGGTTATATGGCTTAAGTCCAGTCTTATATGAAAGATATTGTCTCCCTGTATGAACCTCCATGTGGATTAAGATCCCCAAGGGAGTGTTTTCTCTTGATCCTGTTATCTGGTGAGGACCTGAGAGAGGGCTTTTTCTATACCTGCTTCTACATTATGGAACTCTCTCCGTTGGGATTTGTGCTTGTCCCCTTCCCTCCTTTCCCTCCACCAGCAGCTGAAAATATCTCTTTAGGAAGAGGCTGGTTCCCTACTAGGGGAGAAAGGCAGGATAAAATCAAATGCCATATTTTTCCATGTATAAAACAACACTTTTTCCTAAAATAAATTTAGGAAAAATTGAGGGTCGTTTTATACACGGAAGGAAGTGGAGGCAAAGGAGCAGCCGTGCTCAGCCACCTCTCACTGCTGCCCATTGACTGCTGCCACAAGATCGTCTCCTCCAGCGCCACTTGCAGGCGTCCTTCAGGCGGGGACAAGGCAGTGACATGAGCTGGAAGTTAACTCCGCCCGTCGCACTGGAGGAGGCGATCAGGTGGTGGAGGCAGCAGCAGCAGGAGACGGAGGCAGAGGAGCAGCCGCGCTGGGCCACCCCTCGCGGTTGCCCGTTGACTGCTCCTCCTCCTCCGGCAAGGGTCAAAATTACGGGATCATATACATGGAAAAGTATGGTAAATAAATAGCATACACTATGTTTGGCTTATTTTGAATGACAAGTCAAACATTTGCAGTTGCCTGGACCCCCCTGTGCTCCCAAAGCTACCCTAGTATTGCATCTTTGAAGTGCAGGGCCAGTTCAAGTCATTGACAAGCTGACCCATCTCTTTCACTCTCTTGGAACAAGGGTAGCTGATGTATGGCCGTAGTATTCTCTGGCTGGTAAGAATTATAGCATCAAGACAGGCTCAGAGACAAGCTGATGCAGTTTAGCTCCTCTCACCACCTCCAGTACCTTCCCACGGAAGGGGAATGGTAGTGGAAATTTATTTGGTACTTTGTTTGGACCCATTGATTACAAAATGGCAACAGATCATAGCCTTCCACTCACCTTTAGTACAGATTGTCCTTCCTTCTTGCAGCTGGGAGAAAATCTCAGTGTTGTGTCTCTTGCCAAAGCTTGGCTGACCTATTGTTATGGTGATGGGATAGGCAAGATTGTTGGACTCTGGTAATCTAGCCTATACATATTCTTGCTAGGGTAAGAGGACAACTTGGAATGTTAAAAAGTGGTTTTATGGAGGACCAAGCATGTCACTTGCTCAGTAGCTTATTTGAAGACAGCTTTGGACCTGGCAGTTCACAAAACGCACATTTTCTGTGAGAGTGTATGTGACTTTATGCTTTTGATATTGGGGATTTCCTGAAAAATTGATGCTGTTGTAGTTGTAGATTTTTTGTTTTTCTCAGACATGCAGAAATGTGTTAGAAGGTCTTATGCTACTGTTAAGATGAAGTTAATTGTCAAATCAAGATTTTATACATTATAAATGTACTAGTCGACAGCCTCAGAGTCTGGGGATTGTCATATACTGAGGGTGCACATCACCCTCCTCCCCCCAAATCAGAAGTGTCTAGAAATCCCCTAAATATGAATTGTGATTGGAAAGTGATTCTTCATATTACAACCCTTTTGTTTCTTGGATGAGGTTGGACTTGGGGGGATGCAAAAAGAGGGTGCAAGAGGTTGCTTGCAGGGCATGCTGAGAAGAATGTTTCATGGAAATAACAAGTTTATCATGGATTATGATAGTTTGAATATATTTAGTATTTATCTTTAATATGCTATACAGTGGTGCCCCGCTTAACGATTACCCCACTTGATGACAAATCCACTTCACGCCGTTTTTGCGATCGCTATTGCAATCGCAAAACGATGATTTAATGGGCAAAATCTGCTTTGCGACGATCGATTCTCTGCTTCGGGAACCAATTCGCATTATGACGATCAAAACAGCTGATCGTCGGGTTTTCAAAACGGCCGCCGGCTGTTCAAAATGGCTCCCTGCTGTGTTCAGGATGGATTTTTTGCTGCACAGGCATCGGAAAATGGACTCCCTATGGAGGATCTTCGCTGGATGCTAAGGTATTTCGCCCATTGGAATGCATTGAACTGGTTTTCAATGCATTTCAGTGGGCTTTTTTTATTTCGCTTGACAAGGATTTTGCTTTACAGTGATTTCACTGGAATGGATTATCCTCGTCAAGCGAGGCACCACTGTATTATTTTGTATATTATCTGATTAGACTAATAATATTGTAATTTAATTATGTTTGCTTCATGTAATTTTTACATATTTTTTCTTTTGCTTACAGATCTAAATGGATCAGAGAGGTATACATTCCAGCTTCCCACTTCAAGATTTGTTTTCAAGTCCCTGTCTTTAAGAAGACTGAAACTGCGCAACATTTGTAGTTACAGAAAACCAATCTCTTCCCAATGTTTAAGTATTTATATTTCTTTAAAAACAGATAATGTTGGACTCACAAAGGTTAGATAAATTACAACTATTTTTATCTCTTTACCATAGACTTTACATCTGTGTGTAAATACACCTAATATAAACTCCCACATTTGCTTCATCTGTTTTCACCATTAAACCTCACTAAGCCTGATTTTTGAAATAAAAACCCTACTGTTGTATAATTATCATGGATTTGGATTACATACCAGTTCATATTAGTGCACAATCTGCCAGTGAAGTGTCTTTTCATAGTGTCCTATAAAGTCAAAGTCAACTTATAAGATATTGATAATTGACAGAACAGAGCTCTTCATTAAAATTCATAATAGCTGAATCTGCTAAGTTTTAGTTGAATATTATTTTTATACTGGTTTTGATATTGAATTTTCTCTTTTTCACAGATGAATTTGCCATAGTGGAGAGAAAATAAAATTTAAAAATATTGTGTATGTTTGAATAGCTATTCTGTATAAGGTAGTGATAATGCTGAAGGTAAACACTGGGTGGCACCAAATGTAAGTTATTCATTAATTTGAAAGACCTGGACTCTTCTCTTGTTAATTAACCATTTTAAAAGGTGTCTTTGCTCATAAAAATAAATATGCAATTTTTGTATTTCTACATAAGGGCTGGGTCCAGAGTTCTCACAGGAAGAAGGAAGAGGTGATTTTCACTGATTCTCTTCCACCCGATGCCTCCTGAAAAACTGCTGCAGAGTGGCATTGGTCTGGGCAGCACTGGGGACTGGGTTGGAATAGGAGCCCCACTGGGGGAAAAAAATCCCTTTCATTTCTGGGAGGGAAGCTTAGATCTGGCCCACTTAGCCTATTCTCAGATGACAAAAAATGTTTCATCTATTTTATTTTAATGTTAAATTCCATATTTTATGACAAGAAACGATTTTAAAAGGGATGAATATAAGATATTAAAGAAAGGGGAGCCTCTGGAAAATCCATATGTAGGCCATGGTCCTTCTGTGTGCCTCCTCTCAGCTTCTGCCTCTCCTTCTACTGCAGGGAGGATTCCCAGTGCTTCACTCGCACCCACACCCTTCCTTATCTAGGAGGGTATGGGATCAGTGAATCTGGTTTCCAACGTGAGTAGTACACATGGGAGAGTCGATACTATTCCTGCCCCATAACTTTCCAATCCAGAAAGGCACAAGAGGTGAAGCTGTATTCATGCCTGAAATGCAGGCTGGAGCGGCTCCAGCTGAATATTGCCAAAGGATAGGCCCAGAACCTATGGTCCTCTGACCCTCAAAGTGCACGTTCTGCTGTCCATGACTTCCCCACCACTCCATGTTGAGGTGCAGTTGGATAAAGGCTTTTCTTTATTCTGAACTGGAGCATATCAGTAAGAGTTCTGAAAAATCCATCTGAAAGTGAACAGACCTATGAAATTAGCATTTCTAGTTGGAGTGAGAGAGACACATCCAAATATTTCACTGAGGACTAACATAGGCTTATATGTATTTCAAGGTTCAGACTGAGTTCATGTCTATTTAAGTGTCTTGCATTCTCTGTTTTAATGAAGAATTTTGCTATTAATGAACTTACTGGTTATAATAATTTCCATATGAAAGCTGAATTCTGCTATTTTGTGGTGAGGTTTTTTTAAAAAAACAGAAACAATCACTTCAGAAGCTGAAGTGATTGAGCCACATTTATTTTCAATTACCTGTGTATACCACAGTTGGATTACCCAAGAGATACTTAGTTTCAAAGCTGGTGGTGCTATTAGGTACTAAAATTCTTATATTGTGGGCCTTCTCAGTATTTCATATCAAATGATGGGAACTGTGATATTGCTATGGATTTTATCATTTGTAAATCAGAGACTAAAGGTAATTAATTCAGAGTCTGCCTTCTTTGTTGTGTGTGGCATATGGCTTCTTGATCTCTCTACAACAGAAGTTTAGAGATGAGAAATTGCTTGAAGCTTATACTGTTTAAAAGAATTTTTTTAATCATATTGAATAAACAAGTATTCACTCCAACAGCACTATAGCACAATACTTAGTTGGAAAAATTCAGAAGACATGAGAGGCTGGTACTGGATATTTTATTTCTGACAAAGTTTCTACTAATGCTAAGATACAAGAAACAGGCTGATAATATGCAGAAATATTTAACAACAAACTTTTTTTAAAAAGGATATGCGTTTTATTTAAGTTGTGAAAGTACTGGAAATTGAACTTTAGACCTATGTGAAACACATGCTTTATTATTGATTTGTGCACTTTCCTAACTTAGGCTCCCACTTCTGCCTGTTGCTTGAGTGATTTCTAGTGTGGAGCAAGGCCTTTATATCCGTGCATCTTTAAAACATGTTTATCAAGCCTCTCCTAGAAGGATCTTAACAGGGAACCAAGTGAAAAAAATGTCATTTTATCTTTGTGGCAGCATCAGATTAGCAGGGGGAGCTGAGAGAATGCCAGCAGCCTCAGACTGGCAGTGAGCTTCATGGCTCAGTATGGCTTTGCATCTGCATCCCACTGGCTCTTGGGCTTTGTCTCTAATGCAAGTGGCACAATTTCTGTTAAATTGTGCTCATTAATTCCAGTCACCCTTAGGCTAGATTGCTTTGAGTCGGGCTGTAAATTAGTCTTTCTCATCATTAGACAAGATACATTTGTGCATGTATTAACTTCTGAAAGTATTTTGATTTTAAAGGGCATGAATACAAGATACTACATTGTTTCTTAGTTTAAAAAAAGCTGGTGCCATGTAATAATGCAGTATGCTGGTCATGTATAGTTAACAAACTATGTACCTAAATAAAGTTGTTTATGATGGCTTAATTAAAAAGACATGAAACATGGTTCAAATAGCAGTCTTGTCTAACACCAGTTGACAGCTATTTAGTGTCTGTTGTTTCCTAGTGGCATCTGAATTTTCTATTATAGAAGTAGCAGTAGTTTTTCTTCACATAAAGCTGTTAATGTGTTATCAAACATACATAATTTCTTCTGAAGAACAGCCTAATATATGAAGTAGTGGTTCCTGCATCTAACCTCTCTGGTGGAATAAAGTATAGGTCACCAGTGACTTTAACAAATGAAAAAAAACAGATTCAATTTAATTTATAAACACTCTCTAACTGTAGTCTATCTGTAGTTCAGGAGTGAAGTGTCAGATTATACATCTAGCTGTACTGTGAAGAACTCCTTATTTTGATTGTGGAAGAAGTTTACATTTTGCTTTCTGCCCCATTTTGTCTAGTTTCTTCTATGATAGATTCTTCTGTTCAGTTATTCAATTTTTTAAAATAAAAGGGTGATGCATAGGAAGGCAATTGAATGCGCTCTCTCTAAACTGCTCTCCAGATTACCAAGCACTTGTTCAGAAAGATGCATGTGAGAGAGTATGAAAGTGGGAGGGGGAGGATAATCAGAGTAGGTGTATCTCATAGGAAAATGTGCCCCCCGGTATTAAAATGTGAAAGCTCAAAATATATATGAATGCTTAGGTAATGAATATCAATTGAGACATAGACTGGACTATTGTTGAAATTGCCCAGTTGAACTAGCTTGTAAATGCAAACTGTCATTCTTTCGCCACCCAATAACAAGTTATAACCCCTTTTCTGTTTGTTAAAACAGGAGTATGCTTGCTGATTTTGAGACAAATGGACACAAACCTTGTATTGTTTTTGGGGTTTTTTTAAACTCAGTAATTTATTTCACAGCACAACTGAATTATATTTGCAGCCATAGTTGTGTATTCTGACTGGTTAAAGTTGTAAAGCTTCAAAATAATAGCTACAAGGAGTTCTGTGCAAAAACATGGTTTGGTACCTTTGGGAAAAGAAATATAGAACGTAGTTAATAAAACTGGAAAAATTAAGGACTATAAATACATTGTGCTTGGGGAAATATTAAAGTTTAAGAGTAGTTATGAAAATAATTTGCTTCCCTGTACCCTTGTCCATGTTTTCTTGATAATCTGTATGAAGGGAAAAGGAGCTAGGAAGTTACAGTGAATGAAAAAGTATAGTATTCGGCCTTTTGCTTTATTGGCAGTAAAGCTCCATAAGATAGACCTTTGGTGGGTGATATGCAGCATGCAATGACAGAACAAACTGAACATCCAGAATTTTCCAAACAAACACCCACTGTGACATACCTTACTAGAATGTGTAACATTCCTGTTCTTGGGAAAGCAAACTAGCAAAATACTGAACAGTTGAGCAGTTGTGTGATATATTACTTTGACATTTGCCCCAAAGCACTGTAGTTGAAAAGCCTGTTAAAACTATCGTTGATTAGAAACTAAAAGTACCAGTTGCAAAATTAACCTTTTCTCCCGTGGAGGGCCTAGGCAAAATGCATCATTGTCAGGAGAGTGAACAATTAGGTTTCCTTCTCTCTTCAAACTGAAATGCCTAACAATCTTATATGAATTTTCAGATTTGGGTTTGGTTTGTAAGTGTCTGGCTTCAATTCAGATTTCATGAACCAGAACAATCCAGGATTTGTTTGAATCTGAAGCATATTCATTTTTATATCTATAATTCATCCAATAGAAGAAAAATCCAATAGTTTTAGAGCATACATTATCTGCTTCTGCTGTATTTTTTTACTGTTCTTCCCCTCCGTAATGCTACTGTATTAATTTTATGGTTTTAATGCAGCAAGTTTTAGTAATTATTTCAATTATTCCTAGAGCCCAAAGCAATCATCAACTAAGCTAGGCACAAGATCTTGTGAAGCAATTAACACAAATGTGTAGCTGCATAAAGATACTAAGGCTGACAAATTAATAGGAAAATGTAGCTGTAGCTCTTATCTCACAGGGTTCACTTCTTGCGGCAATATGAGATAGGAATTCAGTTCTTGTAGCAAGTGTTCTCAGTAACTGCTCAGAAAGAATTGTGGCATCCTCAACATGGCTTGTTGGATTTAAATCTCTATGAACAAACATAAAAACCATCTCCACTCCCAGAGAAAATACAAGTGGTATGTTTGAACTGCAACCTATTATTCTGTATCACATCCAGCTCCGAGAAATTCAATTGTTTCAATAATGTTTACATGAGCGTGTATATTAAGAAAATGAAACTTCTACATTATGCATATTGACTTAATAAAGGAAGCTACACCCTTGAGCAGGGTTGTTGAAGACAGGATATTTTTATATCACTCATTCATAGGGTTGCCATGAGTCTGAGGCAAGCTGGTGATATGTAACAATGACAGCATTCTGCATGTGAGACAAACTTGGAGCTATAAAAATCATGCACATCTGAATCTGACAGACTGTTCCATTCAGGTGGTATAAAATCATGCACATATGAATCTGACAGACTGTTCCATTCAGGTGGTCCAGAACATAGCAATGTTGCGCTGTGTGTTTCATTACTTGGCAGCAGGCAGTTCCCTATTAGTTATCAATGTGATGTCAAAGTTCTGTTTTAGTGAAAGTCACTTTCAGGTACACCTGCAAAAGCAAATCATGACAGAGACAGAAGCAGGGTATCCAGTAACACTGGAATTAGGGCCCCCTGTGTAGCTCCAAATCTGCATAAAACTTATGCTTCCCAAAACAAATACAAAGCATTAAAAATCGATTAACATGAACACACACACGATGATTTTACTGTATTGTGTACCAGATGATTATTACAATACTGTACTGTATTTACAATTCATATTTAAAAAGGTTTTCATTCTCATTGTTGTCACATTGAGTAGGTTGGGGAGAGGAAGTAACATGTGAATTTTCATCTGACTTTTTTGCTTTTTCATATCTAAAAATGATTCTATACGGTAGCAATCAAGCCTCAATCTATAGTAGTATCAATAAATTCAAGTTTTCCTTGCAGAAAACAGTATTTATTGAATTTAGTATTTACTGAAGAGGAGAATAAGATTACGGTTAAGTCTGAGACTGAGCTGTCCCCTTGATTGTCTGGAGCAGAAGGAGTCAACGCCCTTATGTCCACCTTTCCTATGGGAATGAAAGACCTAACTATAAGAGTGGACTGAAGCGCGGGGGAAGAAAAATGGCGGGAACAGAAGGTGAGAAGCTGGGCTTCGGAAGAGTGGCTTAGTGGACTGAAGCGCGGGGGAAGGAAATGGCAGGAACAGAAGGTGACAGGTTTCTTGATGACAGAGAAGGAGGAGGGAGAAAAAGAGAAGCTGGGCTTCGGAAGAGTGGCTTAGTCCAGAAGAGGAGATAAAAGAGGAAGGTAGTATAAAGGACAGGAGGAAGAACCTTATGCGTTTAATGTTCCAGGAAGAGATGGAGGCTATATGCAAGGACGAGGTCAAGGTCTACAAATACAATTGGGAGAGTTGAATTCCTTGGAATCGACCATATATGTGGATCCACGGGGGAAAGGTCCCTGGAGGAAGGTAGTCCGACCAGATCCTATTCCAGCAGCTCAGACACCTCACGAGGGAGATAGGGCCCGTCACCCATGTTGCGGAACCATCTGCGCGGTGAGGAGCAATCCTATGAGAAGGCCAACAGACAGGGAGAGATTTGGAGTATCTCTGCATTAAGAGACAATAAAATAGTTAATAGACTTCCTATTTATGGACTGAGTCTGTTAGCAGCCAGTCCTGTTGGTCCCACATAAGTTATTGTTGATTTCCCTGCCCCCTTTGAAAGTAAATGTTGAGTTGATAAGATTATGTCTCCTGTGGTTAATTCCGCCAAAAAGGAGGAACTGCTTAGTTTTATATCAGAACCCAATCACAGTTGGAAAGAAATCATTGTATAACCAAAACTGCTGCTCCGACCCATGCAATTCCAGGGAGAAGTGTACAGTACTTGTGTTTTTGCATTACACATTAATTATATCCCTCTGCCAAATCTGACTTGCTGCTGCTGTGAAGCACCATAGCATTAGCAAGCTAATTTAAAAGGGTGGAAATCACTCTCAAACATAATTACTGTATCTGTATTAATTCAATTCATCTGTTACCTGTGTGCATGTGAGTGTTGGAAGAATATTCTGAAAGTATCACTTCTCTTGAACCTTCCCCCCTCCTTTATGTATGTTCGGGTCTTCTCGAGTTATATCTCCTTTTTATTCTCTGCCCCTCCCTCAAGAAATAAAGATTTAAAACAATGTCTTCTTAGGTCTGTCAACGTTTTTTTAAAGAGCTCGCCTCCCCCCCCCCCCTGTGTGCATGTGAGTGTTGGAAGAATATTCTGAAAGTATCACTTCTCTTGAACCTTCCCCCCTCCTTTATGTATGTTCGGGTCTTCTCGAGTTATATCTCCTTTTTATTCTCTGCCCCTCCCTCAAGAAATAAAGATTTAAAACAATGTCTTCTTAGGTCTGTCAACGTTTTTTTAAAGAGCTCGCCTCCCCCCCCCCCGCCATGTGCTTTGAAAGTATCACTTCTCTTGAACCTTTCCCCCTCCTTTATGTCTGTTTGGGTCTTCTCGAGTTATAGCTCTCTTTATTCTCTGCCCCTCCCTCAAGAAAAAAGATTTAAAACAGTGTCTTCTCAGGTCTGTCAACATTTTTTTAAAGAGCTCG